AAATACAGTCCTGTGCAAGCTGCTCACCAGGTTCTTTGAGGACCTCTGATTTCCCTGGTGCCTGTGTCAGGTCTTTGCCATATCCCATTTGGGGAACCCACAGCTGAGCACCTGTACTGGAGAAGACCTCGGTGCAATATCTTCTAGAGCCGCCATCAAAGTTTCCTACTTCTTAGGAGTGATGCTTTTAACTCCAGTACCAAGAGAGGAAGCCTCCAACTTCCTTTTTCTATGGGGCATATATTCTTTGTCCTTACCATACCTGTGTGGAGATTCCAGAAGATCAGACTGGATGTTAAAGAAAGAAATAAAAACTGAAAGTAGAAAACAGGAGTTTCTGGTGTATGGCATGATCTTTGCCCAGTCTGCAGCTTTAAATGGAGGCAATCTTCTGTAGAGGACTGTCCTCTGAGAAGCTTTCAAAGAGAGGAGTAGACCACAAGGCCCCCTGAGGGCTGCTCAAAAGACCAGCCAGCCTAGGCAGTTCATTTGTACCATCATCACAGCCACACCTACAAACTGACTGGTACCTCACCGGTAACAGACAGACGGGCATCACCAAATCTAAGTTTGTGAGGTCAGGTAAATACACCAGAGGAATAGTTTTTCTTGGGCTGACTATGTTATACACAGACTTCTGCTTGGCAAATCCTGTCCCAGAGAAACTCCCCTTTAAGGACAATTTTCTTGTATGTTGCGCATTGGCATAATAGGAGTCGAATCCATCATTCTACCAGTTTTCCTGTGCTTTTGACATAATATTGCTACAGGAAAGTTGGGACACAGCTAGTACTGTTTGGAATGGCTTTGTTGCCCACTGTTTGAGAGCAGAGATTCAGGACAGAGATTAAAGACCCTGCTGTCTTCATTTCAACCTCACTGAGTATTAAAATAACCATCCTGGAACAGTGTGCCATCTGGACTTGAGAATCCCACTGAAAGGAAAATCCAGTAGTTCTCTAATTATCAAAGTTTAGATTCCATATAAAGCGAAAGCCAGTGTAAAGGATATGTGGGCCAAATTAGAATACTGCCTTGCTACTTCATTTATAAAATTCCCAGAGACCTATCTGCTTGTAATTGAAACTCTAAATGGCAGAAGTGGACCTAATGATGATATGTTAGAAGGAAAATTTCCAGCTTTAACAGAGATTAAAAAGATTTTCCTCACAGAAACTCAGAAGATTGAAGTATGAACGTGGCAGGCTTTTGTGTGGCCCAATTAAAAGCTGGATTAGATTTGCATATTCTAAATGGAAGTGCTCCTGGGGAAGATCTCAAGATATTGGAAGTGTTTTAGTTTTCAGGAATGGACTATTTCAGCAATATAGTATGGCAAAGAACCTTAATGGGAAAAATATTTCATAAGTTGAAGGTGGCAAAGGATAAAAAGCCTCACAAGATTCATTTTATGAGATCTGGCATGACAGGACTGTTTATGTGAATAGACTGGATGGTCAATATAATAACTGCTTTCAGTACAAAACACTCTGGATACTATAAAGAATTCTGAAAACAAAATTCAAACTTTTATGTACAGTGATTGTTTATACTAGTTTAAGCTGAAAGTTAATTATTTATACCTTTGTGTCTTTTACCTACCTAAGTTAATTTTCTTTTTTATTATTTTCAGTTGATGTGACACTGATTAAATATTTGTGTGTGTTTGTACTATTCACTTACAAATATAAAACATTTTTAAAAATATTAATGATGCCTTCACCTTTTCAAAGTTTTGTGCAGTGACTTACTGTTCAGTTTCCAGAATTTTTCTCCAGCTAGTGCAATCTTTCCATGTAGATCTCAGAACAGACAGTTACCACTGACTTTCAAAACCGGTGTGGTTGACCCAGCTTCATCAAATAATCTGCATAACTGGATGAGAGCTAAATAGTCAGCTTATCTACATGACCTTGGTGACATTGAGCTGAATTCAGCAGACCTCTTAAAATCCACACCAGTGTCTAGGCACCCTTCTGTTTCTACTCTTGAGGCATATGAGGAGCTTAAACAACACTTTCAGGAAATTATTACAATGGGAAAAAATCCTCATCAAGGAGTTTTGACCCTGATAATTTCAGGAGTGCTCACTGATTTGATGAGGAGAGCAGTGGAATAAAGAGACCGTTTAGACTCCTACAGGCAGTGCTTTTTTTGTAAAAAAAAGGTGCTGGAACTCACGTTGCCGCCGGCAGTAAGCACTCAGTGCGCGACCACACACACCAATCCCAAGCCGAGCAGTGTCCCAAGCCGGGTGACGCGGACACAAAAGCAGCCCGCAGGCACTATGTTAATGATGTTTGCTGCTGACTTGCTACGCTGAAAGGCGATTCAAAATCACTTCGTAAAATCTATTGGAAAAAAAGGTGCCGAAACACCGTTCCGGTGTGTTCTATGACAAAAAAAGCCCTGCCTACAGGAAATCAAGAATTTTCCATTACTCTCTCAGTTATTTTCTATGGGGGAAAAATGATCAGGACTGATTAGTTCCCACAAGACATCAGAATGAACTTGATTCATGGTGACAACTTTTCCATACTTCCCCGAATGATGATTCTAGAACCTTCTGGCTGCCAGTTTCTGGAGCTTTATGCTCTCAGTCTCAAGCTTCCAACTGGTACATCTTGGGAGAGGTCTCAGGAGAACCATTTCAGATGCATTTTTACAGATCCACTTGGCCTTTTATCTTCTTCATGGTGGCATGTTATCTGTAGAGATTGGACTCACTTCTCTCAAAGGAAGACATTCCAAGGCAGAAGGTTCAGCTACACAAAGGGCAGAAGGGACTGGAATGTGTTACTGAATGGCCAAGGTGAGAACCAAACCTCCATGTCACACGGAGGTAGGTAGAGACCTGTTCTCCCCTGCAGAGGAAGGCAGGATGCGCTCCAACGGAGCAAAGCTCAGGGAGCCAAGGTTCCATCTGGATGCCAGGAAGCATTTCCTGACAGTTAGGACCCCGAGGGTGTGGAATGGGCTTCCATGAGAGGTCGTTGAAGCCTCATTGGTGCGGGTGTTCAAGGATAGGCTGGATGTGCACATGGTGGGCATGTCGTGAGTGGAGCTGGCTGGTGCCGGAGGTCAGACTAGATGGCCCGGGAGACCTCTTCTGACTCGCTCTGTTTCTATGTATGTTTCTTCTGGCTTGGGTCAGGATGGGGGAGACAGTGAAGAACAAGGAGGGTCTGAGTCCGGGAGGGGTGTGCATTCAACGGCTTGTACATCATTCTGTCTGTATAGCACAGACCAGTCTAGCTCAGATAAAGGACTGCATTTTTAGAAGTCTTCACCTTCCTCAGGTGGACTTGCTTGCAGTATTGCCAACTAAACTAAAATGAGTCTGTTTCCCTACAAGAAGTTGTATATCTATCATCAATCAGGTAAAGAGTGGGAAGGGTCTAAGGACTGATTATATCCCTGCAGAACTCATAAAAATAACCCTGCATTGTTGGGCACCAGCTTTGGCTTCCGTTTTTACTACACTAAGTAAAACCAATAAGAAGAATCCCTTCTGGTTGGAAGAAAGGAGTGGTTGCAACCTTAATGATCCAAGACACTACAGACCTATCTACCCATTATGAATGATAGGGAAGTTATATGACAGGTTCCTACACCAGAGATGGATTGTTCTTTTGGAGTCAGAGAACACGTCTACCAATTCTTAAGTTAGCAGTTAGGGGGAACTGCTTAACCGTTGAGCACTACCTGGCGCAGTCACACCTTGCTGAAAAACATACCAGACCCCTGCAAGGGAAATTGTTTACTCTCCTTGTAGATTTAAAAGCTGCCATTGGTTCTATTCCCAGAAGTAAGTTAAGGCAGAAATAGCTTTTTACAAATGTGATGTGACAATCTGGGACAGCTTAATGAAAGCTCTTTCTGCGACTAGGAGAGGTAGGCAAGGACATACGCTTGCCCCTACTTGGTTCAATTTGTTTCTAAATGATCTTGAAAATGAGCACCTAGCAAGATGAAGAAAAAGGAAAATTCGAGTCTTACTTTTTACTTTGTATTCAGACTTGGGCTAAAATGTTCTGTGCCTAAGAGAATATTCCAATCTGCTCCCTGCCCTGATCCACATGAGCCTCGAGAGTTGTTGGCTCACCTGCCTCTAACACATGAAGAGAGCTGTGGCAGTGGCAATCCCCACAACTCCCATGCCATGTTGGGCTTTGTAGATGAAGACCTGGGGAGGGACTGGTGGAAGGGGAGGTCACAGGGTCTCAGTGCTTGGTTGCCAAGTCATCCGGTCACCCCCAGCCGATGATGTCAGGTTGCCATAGGGTTGCACTCCGCATTTCTAATCTGTTGATAATATATTCATGGTAATATATGGGAACTTATGGCAAAAGAAACATTTCAATTTTTGAAAATTTTAATTTTAACAAGCATTGATATTTTGTAGTTGATTAAATTTTGAATCCATATGTACATGGATATATAGTCTCCCTGCATTGAGGTGCATGTCAGTTGAGAGATGAAAATCTCAATCTCTCTTTTTCTCTCTCTCCATGTATGTGTGTGTGTCTCCTTTTTCTTTTTCTTCTTTTTGATGATGTTTTTGGTTGCATATTTTACTAGCATCACACAGTAAAATCAGAAGCAGCAGCATGCAAGAGATGTCCATTTAATGTAGATAATTACGTATTTTAAAATCATTCAGTATTTAATGAAAAATAAAATGGTAAGATGATGCTTTTCCACATTCCATACAACAGAGGTCACGTTTTCAGGTTTATAAAAATGCTTCATGTACGAAATTTATTTTACAGTATCATCTGAGAAAGTTCATGTCTTTTGGCAAGCTTTCCATGTGCCCTTGCCTGTTGCAAAGTTTTTCTGCACACAGATCAGGACATGTGTTTGTAACAGAGCAGTTGCAGCAGCTGCTGTGCTCTAAAGCAGCTCATCTGGTATTCTGTGTACAGGGAGGGAAAGTCTCTCAGGAACTTGTACTTTGCATGGCAATTGTAATGAATAAATGGCACAATAACTTTTCTTCAGAGTTTCTGAGCACAAAATGAATTTCTGAGCATTTTCTTAACAGCTATTTTCACTTCCTTGTTTCTTAAGGTATAGATCAATGGGTTTAGTAGAGGGGTTAAAAAGACATAAACCAAAGATATCTATATGTCTGGATCTACTGAGGAGACAGATTTAGGTCTCAAATACACGAAAGAAGCACAGCCAAAATGTGTTATCACCACATTGAGGTGGGAGGCGCAGGTTGAGAAGGCTTTTTGTCTTCCCGAGTGGGAGTGGATCCTTAAGATAGCAAAGAGGATGTAAATGTATGAGACACAGATCAGCATGACCGTGCCCAGCAAAATAATGGCACACAAAGTGACGATCCCAATGTTAGTCAGGTGAGTGTCAACGCAAGCCAGTCCCAGCACAGGTGAGAGATCACAGAAGAAATGCCTGATTTCTTTAAGCCCACAGAAGGGTAGCCTGAAAATAAGGATGTCAATACTCAGTGAAATGAGATATCCCACTACCAGCCTGGTACAAAACCTTTTGTCCATCAGACCTGGTACTGAAGAGGATGGCAGATTGCTACATACCAATCATAAGCCTTAGCAACTAGTGGGAAACAGTTGTTTGTTCCTAAGCCAAAGAAGCAAAATATCTGGACAGCACATCCAGTGAAGGAAATCGATGGATCACCTGTCAACAGTGTCACCAGCAGCTCAGGAATGGTGACAAACATGGTGCAGGTTTCTGAAACAGAGAATGCCAGGAGTAGAGAGTACATCGGGTTGTGCAGAGTCCTGTCAAGCAGTATGACCGCCATGATGATGCAGTTGAAGGCCAGGATGGTGCTATACACAAGGGAAAAGACCAGGAAAAGTAAAATGGGTTTACTTCCAAGAATGGAAAACCCCAGCAAGAGAAATTCCATCACTGAGCTGTCATTGCCTTTATTCATGTTGAAGCAGCAAAGCTGCCTGACCTGAAAGGAAACAAGGTGAAGGCTTGTAAGTTACAGAATGATTCCTAAGTGATCCAAAATGTCAGCAGATGCTTATTTTAAGGGATTTATAAGAAAAGGCAAATGTGTGTGGAATAGGTAAAACTCCCTATGTTAGTATGGAGGTTGAGTGGAATCATTCACCTTGCATGATAAATAATATAACATTCCAATAAAACTCTGCTAGATAAAGATGAGGTGCTGCCCTTTGCAAATTCTGAAATGACTTCTATACTTGCAATTCATGGAGCTCCAAGACCTGTATAATGTCCCCTTCTGCTGGTGCACTGGGACGAGGACTGGCAAATGCCACCCCTATAGCATGTTTTCTAAGGCCTAACTGAACATCAGAAGCAAGTGGTGAACCTGAGCCTGACCAACACTGGTCTTCCTTGCCTCAGGGTCTGTTGAGGAACACTGTTGTGGGAAAACAGCTTTAGATGCTATAGATGGACTCAAGATTCTTCCACACGAGAACAATCTAGCAATCACTCCTCCATTAAGCCACCCATTCTTTACTTATTTGCAATTTCATATGTTTCTTTTCAACAAAATGTTCTCAAAGCATTTTTAAGAAGGAACAGTGGCTCACAATCTACATCTGATGGGGGGGGGGGCTTTCATGTGTAGATCTTCCACCACCAAGGAATAGACCCCATCACCTTCACCTGATTGCCTACTTGGGCCCTGGCTGTCTGGGAAGCACCACTTCTCTCACTCAAAAAAAGATCTGGAAGGGATCAGATACAACTGCTGCTATTTCCCAGTTCATCTCTCAGACAGCTCATCCCGTCAGTTTCTGCAGCTGTATAATATCTATGTGGAAGTTTAAACTAAGGGTGAAATAACTAGCCATAGTCACATCTGGATATAGTCAGGAGCGGTATTCCCCAGCTAATGGGACTTGGAAAAGGGACTGCATGATTAGGAAAGGAGATCAAAGTAAGAGTGGGATATCTGGAACTTAGCAAGGCAGCATCAATGCCACTATGGAAATTATTACAGCCTAAGGTGGGAACAGCAGTTTTATGGAACAGAAGTTTAAGGGGCTCATGTAAGTGCAAATGTTTCCTCTTTGTAATTCAGAAGCCAGTTCCCACATATCTTCTGTTTCCTTAGCAGGCTTTAATAGCAAATCCACCCACATTTGTCAATAATATTTTGAAATGAGTATTAAGACAGAGAGGGAAGATGCAGCACAGTTGCATGGAAAGAACCACAAGGAATCTTACCTCCAACTAGGTGGAAGCAGCTCTACTTATGATGGACTTCTGTTCGATTTTACTACTCTTATTATACTAAGACAAGTATACAGAGTTCCAAGTGTGCTATTGTCTTTTTAATTATACAGGGACTGGTTTACCATTTGGGGATATGTTCCCCTGATAATGCATGCAGTTCAAAATATTGGTTTCTAGACAAAATAATTCATCATTGGCACCTGAAAGTAGAGGTGGAGATTCTGGCTGATGAAGCTGAAATATATATGTGTGTGTGTGTGTGTGTGTGTGTGTGTGTGTGACCTTATATGCAAATTTATATGCATTTATAAGCAAACTGATTGCTTTCTAACATGTATTTCTTATTCCCATACTGCTCAGTAGCCAATGCTTTCTGGGAAGTTCACACAAATTAAAACCCTAAAATACAAAATACAAAGTAAAATGAATGTTTAAACAAACTAATAACAACAACCTGCAGGGGAAGGCAACAGAGTATTAAGATTAAAAATAAAACTAAAAGACTAAAAAAATAGGAAAAATAAACAGGCTTTACCTGGTGCCCACCTGTCCCCAGCCACAACACAGGTGAACCTCTCTGGAAAGTGCATTCCGCAGCCAGGTGCCACTGCCAGCAGAAGTCTTGCTTAGAAACCACATGCCTTCTTTCTTTCTTTCTTTCTTTCTTTCTTTCTTTCTTTCTTTCTTTCTTTCTATCTATCTATCTATCTATCTATCTATCTATCTATCTATCTGTGGGTGGGTCCCAGAGAAGGACTGTAATAAGTGGTCTTGGAGTCTGGAAGGGTATATATACAAAAAGGTAACCTGGCCTCAAACTATTAAGGGCTCTGGGAACTTTGGTTCAAAGTGATACTAACACTTTGAACTGCACTGGAAGCCAGTGCACTGATGTAACATGGTCCTATCAGCCAGTCTTCTCTTTTGGACCAGCTGAATTTTTGGGACAGCTTTCAGAGATACTGCCATCCCAAATGCCAAGAGCATCCCAAATTGTGAACCGAACCCTTTAGGAGGGGTGCAACCCCCTCCAAAGCAGCTTGACCATCACTTTGCTGTGAAGATGAATCATCTCCTAAAGCCACCTACTTCATCTCATGCATATAGTAGGCATGTCTTGAGCAGAGCTGGGGGTCATACTAGATGGGAGACCCCTTCTGACTTACTCTGTTTCTATGTTTCTTTCTCCTCTGGACTGAGTATCAGTTTACTGGCTCTGTCTCTGTTGCTGCACTCAAGAATGGATTCACACCAGCCATTTCCTCACCTGAACTGGATGCAAAAGGAAAAGATGCATATTGGGAACAGCTCAGACCGCATCTTCAGATTACCCTCCCATTGCTTTAATCTAGATCAGGGGTCGGCAACCTTTAACACTCAAAGAGCCATTTGGACCAGTTTCCCACAGAAAAGAAAACACCAGGAGCTGCAAAACCCCTTTGACATCTAAAATGAAGATAGCACTGCATTTATCGTTTTTTACCTTTATGCTATGTATAAAAAAACTATAGTGTGTTGCATTTATGAAATCAATGAACTGCTATAGAGAAAACAAATTTTTATTTCTGCATGCAACAAAAACATTTTGAACTCTGAAAAAAAAGACGCTGGGTTGAGGGTTACTTTCAAATAAAATAGTCAATGTCTATTTGAGTCCTCCTTATATTTATGAAATAAAAAGCAGAACTTAAATTATCCACCTGCAGCAAACCAAAAATGCTGTCTACTTCTGTGTGCCTTCATCCTTTTATCATGTGTACTGGAGGGTGCAGTCAGCTGTCAACCTGAATAAAAAAGGGACTAATTGATGCTTTCATACAGTAAGTAGAGTTTCTGCAATACAACAAATGTAAATAATAGTCTGGTGAAATATTGAACAAACATCCCTCTCCCAATGTAATAATGTTGCTGGAATTTTTTATAAGAATCTTCTTAAAACAAGGAAGTAGAACTATATTTTCATTATGATTTAGCTGCAGCTCTTGTTCAGTCACTAAAAACTGTTATTTTAAATCTTACATTATAAACTAGTAGGATTCCTGTCACAAATTTTGAATAGGAGAACAGCTTCCTGCAAAGTCAGGGCTAAAGGGCTGTATGCATTAAACAGCAAACCCCATAAGTTCGTCAGCAGTAAAAGCAAATGAATCTACCCACGTACCATTAAACCTTCGGTTTTCTTCAGAAACTTCTTTTCTTCGATTTATCCATGGTTGGCCTACCAGGGAAAAAGCTCAGTAAATCGGCGCGGATCACAGATTGCCGGCTGCCTGCGCAGGGTTGCAGATATAGGTGTGTTTAGTGACTGATTAGCAGATAAACAGTCAAGTGCTGTGAATTGTGACAGGTCCCAAGAACAGCTTTTAACATTCAGATGAAGGAGATTACATTTGGACAAAGAGAATCTTTTCAGCTGGGTTTGAGTAACATGAGAGCCTGCGGGAAGCTTGTTCCACTCTCTCCCTGCACAATAGCAGAGGAATGTAGCGATTTACTTAACCAGCTAGTGGGGCCTTCCTGAGTGGATGCCTCATCATCACCTATTGGAATTTTATAACTTGGAGCCTCGGTTGCAGATCGGCGGCTGTGCCAGTGCGTGTTTTGAGCAATGGAGCCGCAGCAGAGCGATTCAAAAGCCATGTGCGACTCCGGAGCCGCGGGTTGCCGACCCCTGATCTAGATGAAAGTGAGCACTATAGACGCACATAGCATTACTGTCAGGACACAGAGCAGTAATAATTGCACATTACTGCCTTCTGGAATTGGCCAGCAAAGTAAGAGCTGATTCTACTGCCGCTTGGTATCTCCAACTAAGACAGCCTCCCCAGGTGAACGGCATGGTAGATGGTATCCAAAGCTGCAGAGGGCCAAGGGAATAATTGGAGCTGCACTCCCTCTTTTTCTTTCTTGGCAAAAGCCATCTCTCCCGGTGACTAAGTAGTTTGATTCCAAAGCCAGCCTGATTGACATGGATACAGTCCATTTAATTCTAGAGTGCCCAGGAAGGTGATTGTAGCGACCCGCCTATAGCTTTTACCACATTCCAGGTGCAGGTTAGGCTTCTTCAGGAGGGGTCTAACTATTTCTTCCTTTAAAGAGGCCAATGACTTTGAGAAGAAATGAGCATGCCAATCATTTCTTTTCTTCCCTAACTCAATGGGTTCATTGTCAGTATTTATCTCTTCCAAATGGCACCACCCATACATGAGAGGAAGATCTCAGCAGGCTTGGCAGAACCAAGAGTTCTCAGAAGAACACCTTTTAAACCCTAAGGGGAAGCTCCCAACAGTGCATGTGGTGAGATAATGGGAAGTGGAGGCAGAACTAGCAGTGACTGAGTCCAAGCACAACCATCTTCTGGGACTGGGAGCTTTAAAGATGTGGGTCAAGATGGCTGACTGCCAATGTGAACCATTTTTTCAGGGGCTTCCTCCATCCTTTCTGTAATGGAAGCTGCCCAATGCTGGACAAGCTCCCACCTGGGAAGGGGAACTCTGAAGGTGTGAATTGAGCTGGTTAACAGTAAGGGGAGCCCTCTTGGGACCTTTTTGGGCAAAGGGAACTGGTGCTGGAGGAAAAAAAAACCAGTCTTGCTACTGTTGCACCCTGGGAAGTTATCCATCGATTAAATTAAATTTGGAGAGAACAGGGTTGAGGAAGGCAAGTGTGCCTTGATGTTTCAGGAAGAGGCTCTCTTTTCCTGGATCCCTGGGGTTT